AAATCACAACAAAACACTCCTCCTAGGCCAGGCCACCAGTCCCCCAAGGTGTCTTCCTCATTGGAATATATAAGGGCCTTGAGGGCATGGGCTGTCAGCTTTCTGGTGTCTGTACCTTTCCCCTTCCTACCCCCCCCGCCCCCATGCCCCAAACAAGTGCTTGCATTGGTACGATGCCCGCTACGATGCCTTCCATTCTGTTCCTGCCCCGAGTTTGAAAAATGGAAACGGAGTGCAGCTCAGTGATTACAGTGTGGGTATGGTTGTTTTTCCCACCCCTTCTTTCCCTTTGCTAGACATTAGCTGTCATTATTTGCAGCAGCTGCGGTTTAAATATAAAAGGAGAAATGGAACTCGGTGAGGCCGGCTTGGGACAACAGCTGAGTGGGTCTTGGCAAAGCCAGACAGAAGCTTTTTCAGACGCGGGGATGCGTTCGGGCTTGCCGGTTTCGGTCTCTGGAGGATTTGTCGGCGTGTATGCCCGGCAGCTTTTTAGGATTAGAAGTTTAGCTTAGTAAGACTTGCGGCTTGTCACGTGGCTCATTTAGAAACAAGGTGCTAATTAAAGCCAGTCTTTCTGAAGCTGGGTACCATCCCCCTACTACCCACCCCGACTCCTGTTTGTGTGATGATGGGGAAGATGATGTAGTCTTTATCTACACAGAGTCGTCTAATTCTAGTTTCTTGATAAAGAAACTTGTTAAAGGCTTGATATCTCTTAATTCTCTTGTTAAAGGAGCATATTAAAATGGCTACTTCAATAGTTAATTTTTCTGAATTGCATATGTCTTCAGAAGCCAGAACCCATCCACTCACCCCCACTTAATCAATTTGATGCTTCCTTATTTGCATACATGCCATTGACCCTATGAATATTCATCCCTAAAATGAAAATATATAGAGAGAATTAAAAATAACCCCTCATGGGGTTTCTATACAAAATGACATGTGTAGGCCATTTTTGCAAAATCTGACAGCTTCACTTTGTCATTCTCAGAATTAAAAATCAAGAAATAACGGCTATAAAATTTTTAGTTTTCAATAAAACTTCAGCAAATTAGCTACGATCAGCATTCTTAAAAGCTTTCAATAAAACTTTTAGAAAATACTGATCGTACCTAAGGTACTGGGTTAAAAATACAAACAACCCTTTTCCCTCCCCACCACCCAAAAGGATAGTTAAAACTGAGCTTTCTGAAAATTTTCAACTAAAATAGTTGATTTTACAGATTACATACAATGAGCAAGCATTCTTTCAAAAGACCTGTTATGAAGCTCTTTGCATTTCTCTTAGTAGAGAGTTTGGGGATTACAGATCATCTGCCATCTTTGACTTAGCAGTCTGAGGATTGGGGTGGGGTGGGCAAAGGTGGGGGAAGTGACGGTATTGGGAACTGACATGTTTGAAAAATGAAAAGCCCCATTATAACAAAAAGATAGATTTTGAATAGTATCGCATTAAAAAAAACCTTCCAAATGCCAAATGACTGAAGGTTGTTTATTTTAAATCCCTGGTTTTGGTGCTACCTGTGGAGATGCTCCAGAACAAGACCTGAGTTTTCCAATCTGTTGAGTGATGTTTTTTGCTCCCCTTCTAAAATGGAGGGAAATTCTTGGATTACGTAGCATTTTCCAAGGACAAAGAGAAAAAGGGTTATAAAATTGTGCATTGGGAGTGTTCTGAGGCCCTAGGTAGAAATGTTTTTGAAAGATGAAGTTCCTTTGTAGAGGAAACTATACTAAAAATTCTAGCGAGTTGACTACCATTGTCATCCCAAAAAGAAATGCCATCTTCCTGGGTGATCTGTGTTGGGGAAAGGTGGGCATAATGGTGACTGCTGTCACAGACTCAATCACCCTGAAAGCAGAATCATTTCAAGAAAGGAAAATCATGTTATCTCATGACCAAGCAGAGGTTTTTATGACAAAGGGAACTTGATTAACATCAAAAAGTCAAGGGGAAACACAGTGGCCTTTGTTCACACCTATAACAACTGAGTGTATCAGCTTTCATGCTGTTACTTACACTCATTGTCCCGGGAAAAACAGGGAAACAGATGGCCGTTTAACAGGGCTGAGATAGTATTGTTTTTGGTTGGGAATGCCGTTCCACCTTGGGAGCTGGGGGAGAAGTTTTCCACGTTTAGCAACAACAACTTGGAAAAGGATCTCATCCTACTTCCTCTTTCACCCTCCAATCCCAGGAGGAGACCAGGCAGGGTGGAATTGTCCATGACCCAGATGTTTTCATGCTGGCTGCCTCCCAGACAGGCAACAGGAGCAGATGACATGAGGGTATGCACCTGTGGGAGGCTGGAAGCATTGATCAGGCAGGAAAGGCAGGGAGGGCAGAGGATGGAATGGGGAGGGGCCCCAAAACAGAGGAGGGAGGAACTCACCCAGCCTGGAGGCTGCCAGCCTCCAGGGGCACTTCTCCCATGAGGAGGAGTCTAGACCCTTGACTGATTCCCATCTTCTTCTCTTGGCTTTTCTTCTGACAAGGGGCATACAGCCATAAGGCATGAAGAATCTTCACACGTTGAATCTTAGTGCTGGAAGAGACCTCAGAGATAGAAGTTTCTTCCAGAACAAAACCATGTGCTCTATTTGGTTACCATTGTTATAATGGCAGGTAGTATAGGGATAGAATGCCAGGCTAGGACTCAGGAAAATCTAGGTCAGGGTGGGGAACCCGCAGGTTCTGATCTAGGTTGTATCCCATCTCTGATACTTACTAGTTGAGTGAACAAAGTCACACAAAGTCCACAAAGATTGTATGGACTCTGGAAGTAGTACAGAGAGTTCCCACACTGGGAATTCCCTTACCTGATAAAAACATAAGTCCTCTGTGTATTGAAACTTTAAAAAAAAGTCATTAAACTTTAATATATTTATTCCAAGATCATATTCGTTTCAGCAATTTAAAGCATTTAGCACATTTACTAGGACCAGTTCAATGAAACATGTAATTGGAGATGGAAACAAATATTTGGATATTGTTCTTTTCTAGTCCACTAGGGGGCGCTGGACCTGGAGTCAGGAAGATCTGAGTTCCAATACATCTTAGATACTTAACTGGCTGGCTGTGCCACCCTAGGCCAGTCACTTAACCACTGTCTGCCTCAGTTTCCTCATCTGTAAAATGGGGATAATAATAGCATCTACCTGTCATGGTTGGGGTAAGGATAAAATGAGATAATATTTGTAAGTTGCTTTTCAAAACCTTAAAGCGTTGTATAAATGCTAGCTATTATTATTAATATTATTGTTTATCTTACTTTTATTGATCATTTTGTTTATGTTTTTTGTTTTGTTTATGGCCATTTCCAATGTATCACTGTCTCTTCCCCTATCCAAGAAGTCATCCTTTATATCAAAGATTAAGAGAAAGAAAAAAAAAGCAGTTCAGCAAAAAGTATATACTGTATCTCCTGCACCTGATAGTGTAAGCAATGCCACATGCATAGTTCTCCACCTCTGCAAAGATGGGAAAGAGGTACATCTTCTCACATATGTGGGGTGTTATAAATAAGGAAAAACAAAGAGGAAAGATCAATGGATTAGGACATCATGAGATTGCATTTTAGGCCCTGCCACCAATATGCCATCTTGGACAGGTCACAGAATCTCCGAGGAGCCCAGTTTCTTCATCAACAAAATGAAAGAGATGAAATAAACAATCCAGAAGGCCCCTTAAAGCTCTAAAAGGGGGCAGCTAGGTGGCGAAGAGGATATAGCACTGGCCCTGGAGTCAGGAAGACCTGAGTTCAAATCTGGCCTCAGACACATAACACTTATTAGCTGTGTGACTCTGGGTAAGTCACTTGACCCCAGTTGCCTTGCCAAAAAAAAAACCTCTAAAAGTATACAATTCTATGCCTTAAATGAGTCAACAGTTATATATAAATTATTTTATATATTTCCATACATAATAAATTAATAAATATAAATTATATAATTCTGTGCCTTCAGTCAATCATCAATTATATATTTGTATATAAACTAATTTTTATATTTGTATATATAAATTATATATAGATAAACATATCTACATGTAAATTTATCTATATACGTTATATAAGTTTGGGCCCTTAATCAATCAACAAATATATTTGTATATAAATTGTTTTATATGTTTGTATATAGAAATTATATGCATATTTTATTAAAAAAATATACATTCTATAATTCTGTGCCTTTTACTCAATCAGCAATGTGAACCAGCCACTCTGCCAAGCACTGGGGGATCCAAAAAGGAGGGGATACAAAAAAAGGTCTCTTCCCTCAGGGAGCTCCTACTTTAATGGGGGAGACGATATGCAAAAAACAAATAGTACATATATGCAGCGCAAATGGAAGGTGATTTCAGAGGGAAGGCACTAGCAGTATCCATAGACTCCTGAGTTCCTCAGTTTCTCTAGTAAAAGAGTAGCCAGGACAATGAACAGCCTACGGACAAGATGCTGTTGTCCTATCTAAAAGGTCTCTCCTTGCAGGGTTCTTGAGTATTCTCCTCAGAATGATGACAGATTGCTGACACCGATATTAAAGAGGTACCTGAGTAGTCCTTGACCATCATCAGTGGAGTAAATAAGATTCAAGTATCAACCAAGTTTCCAGAGAAATGAACTGGGTAGGAGGTAGGAGGTAGGAGGTAGTCAGCACTCTACAAAGCCTTTGTACAAAAGCTTTGAGTAAGACTAACAGATAAGAGAAAGCAACACTCACCTAATTCTGAAGAATAAAGCAAATGTGTCTGCCCAAGAAGGGAATGCCTTGACAATTATTTGGGCATATGCTAACTTCCTGTGCAAACGGGGAGAAGGGAGCCCCATTTCCGGGAGATCCATTTATTTTATAAATGACAAAGAGCTTGAGACTTAGAAATTGAATATGCATTCAAGACAGCAACAATAGTAGTAAGGACTGATCCAGGAGGCCTCCCAAGGCTTCCCTCCAATCCTCATTATTGGTTGCTTTCTTGGAGTTTTGAACATTACCTATCAACAGCTCCTCCACTTTGACTGGGTGGTGTTTGCCAACTGGCTTTTATCCAGGAACTGAATTCTGACAGAAATCTGGAGAGCTTTTCAAAGTCTGATATAAACGAGAGACCTGAGTGTCATCCATAGTTGGATAGTAGCAGCCAATGAATTCTCATAACGTTTTCATCTGCAAATTGAATGGAAGAATCCTGAAAACAAAACAAAACAAGCAAAAAAACCAGCCCTATAAGAAAAGAGTCAAGAATAGGGTGGGGATGGGGTGTGAAGTAGGGGAAAAGAGAAGTTTTTCATTCTATCTCTCTTTCAGAAAATATTTGTATGTGTGTCAGAATTGATGAGGAGATTAAAAAAATCCAAAGCCTCATCGCACAAGTTGCCTTGTATGAAATCATGTGGGGCAGCGAGGTGCCACACTGAATAGAGTGTCCAGCATGGAGTCAGTAAGAGCTGAGTTCCAACCTGTCCTCAGACACTTAACTAGCTATGTGACCCTGGGCAAGCCACTTAAGCCTGATTGCCTTAGTTTCCTCATCTGTAAAATGAGCTGGAGAAGGAAATGGCAGACCACTCCAGTATCTTTGCCAAGAAAACCCCAAAATGGACCACGAAGAGTCAGAAACGATTTAACAAATTGAATAGTGTAATTGGGTTACAATCTACTCTTTCATTTCCGGAATTGTTTGTGAGTTGAATGCCCCCTTCCCAATGCCACTGCTGGCACTTCCAGAGTAACAAGGACTTGTTATGAGAGCAGGGGTGTGCTGGAGCTGCTGTACAAGTAAATTATCAGTGACAGCATTTACACCTCAGAAATTGGCACTCTCCAACAAATCAGGGCTTAATTTGTTGTTTTCTTGATTGTCTGCACTTAAGAAATTGTTAATAATGGCATTTAAACATAAAAGTATGTGCACATGTCCCCTTTTCTGCCTGATTGTTAAACATTTATTACTACACTCTGTACGAAAGGCTGTTTTGTCTGTGCTGTAAAAATGAGTACAGCTATAGGAAGGAAAGGGGAGAGATGGAGACAGAGACAAAGACAGAGACACCGAGAGATTGAGATTTGGAGGGCTGGGAATGTCTGTGTTGTAAGTCTAAATATCTTAAAAGTTATTATCCACTGAAATAACTCTTGATGTCAGGCACCAGAGAGTAATGAGACTTGGAAGAAGTAATTTCCGTGGTTTGAGGGTTTGTTTGTTTTTTAAAATGACCAAAACGTATTTAAATTTTTTGTTGTTTTTCTTCAAGCTTATATTTTTTATAATCATTGTCTCTTGTGTTCTTGGTTCTGCTGGTTTCATTTTCTATCAGTTTGTATAAATCTTCCATGCTTCCCTGAATTCTTCATGCATCATTTCTGATAGTGCAGTAATATTCCCTTACATTTACATAGCATAGTTTGTTTAGCCATCCCTAATTGCTGGGCATCTACTTTGTTGCCAGTTTGTTTTGGGGTTTTTTGTTGTTGTTGTTTTGTTGTTGTTGTTGCTACCACAAATCATGTAGTTTTGAATATATTGGTCTATATGGTTGATCTCCTCAGGGGGGTATATGCTTTGCAGTGACTCTAATGTATTTTTTTTTGGAAGTTTGAGCAAAATCTAGAGTAAAAAGAAGAAAAACATTTGCCTGCTAAACAGATATTTTCGCAATGTTTATTTGTTATTCTGTCATTTGAAAACTGTAAGGAGTTCTGAAAATCAGGTTTGGCAGAGCCGAAGTTTTAAATGCAGACAAAGAAATTAGGAGAATAATTGTTCCTTCTGTATCAATAAAAAAGAATGAGGTGTCCCAAAGATCACAATTGCACTAAGACTTTTAAGACACCCTGTAGTTGGCTCTTTACCTTTGAATGTTACTATTTATAAAGAAATCTGAGTGTAGAAAAATTTGTACTTATAAAATGAACAAAATAGGAAGTAATTCTTTTTGTTACAAAAGTACTTCACAAAAAAAATTCCCTGGAAGGCTCCTCAGTAATAAACTCCTTATTAAGTTTCAGATCTTTCCATTTTACTCCTATAATTATTCCAGAGTGCATTTACATTAGAATCCAATTTATAAAAATTTGATTTACATACAGCCTTTTAAGAGCACACCAATCTATGCATAAGTAGCATGTTGTTGGAACAAACTATATTAGGGTGTTGTAGGTAGGACTTACAGAATTAAAAGGCATGGCCTTGTTCAAGAGCCAATGAAGAAGGGAAAGCTTTTGTTATATGTCATTTTTCAACTACAAGTTTCTTGGAGTTTTTCCCGTTTTAAATACACTAACAACATCAAATAGAAAATTCAGGCCAGGTCTCTGATCAATGGGTCATGTTGCCACCTGAAAATCCCATCTTTTCATTTTCTTTTTCAAGGAGTCAGAAGAATGAAGGGGGATGAATTTCCTAGGACTTCTTCCTATGCTGAGTGTACTCTGAAGTAAAGTGAGTAATTTTCAGTAAATAGTGAAGATCCTTTATCCAAAATACTGTTTTTTCAAGTACAGAAGCATAAAGTCTCCAAAATGAAAAGCACATAACTTTGGGGGAAATTTTGAAGCCCTTAATCATGCTCTGGGTCCCCCAGGCAATGGCTGTAAATAGCATGTATACATTAGGAATGTATTCACAGTGGAAAATTGGTGCTCCTAAATGAAGGTTGATTCTTATCTCTTGGCATTTCTCATTGATTAAAGTTATGTTTGTTCTCATTGAACCTACTTGTTAGCCAGTTTCCTTTTTGGTTTATCAGCTGCCCCCAAGTGGGTGTTTGTCCTCAAGATTACAGCCATTTAGGTCCAGCTGAAGCCTTGGTGTAATGCTTCAATAAGCTCAGTACATTGAGCTGTTTCACACTTGAGCTGAGTAACACCAGTGCTGACCTTGCCTGTGTCTAGTAAGATTCTTTGCCAAGCCTTGGGGAGCTGCCAGCCTGGTGCCTCTAACAGCTACCAGCAAGATTCCCATATAAGAATCAGGCTGTTGGATATCTGCTCTGATTTCCTGATGGGCTGAAGCCTTGTGGAGAGCCAAACATGCTCTCCTACACTACTTCCCTGATTTCAGAAGGTTAGGGTATTTTGGTATTTTGGCATCTGGTCTAACAGCAGTTGATTCCTTTTTCTCTCTTGGGCGCAGCCTGGTGATGGACAAGAGACAGGATCCTTTGGTCATGACCGTCCATCTCCTGGCCAACTCTGGATGTGCCCTGCCTTTGCAGCAAACCCTTGACCGCCTCTTGCAGTGGATTTGTCCAGAAGTCCACCTATTTCTGGTGTCAGAGAGAGTGACTCCAGTGAAATACCATGAAAAAAACCACTCCACGCGGTCTGGGTTCCCAGGGATTTCCGTTTTGCTCTTCTTGCATGAAGGCTGTGGAGAAGAGCGGTTCTTTCACATCTACGACTCCTTCCAACAGCCACCCTGGCAGGCTCATCCCACACAGAATGCGGGTGGAAGGCTGTGCCCATACACACTTACCAAGCAGGATTTCTACAGCCTAGATCCACACATGCCCGTGTGGGGGATGAGGCAGGCATGCTATGGCAGTGAGATCCTTCAGGTGACCTTATATTGTAGCTTTGATAACTACGAAGATGCGGTCAGACTTTATGAAATTATCTTACAGAAGGAAGCCACCACCCAGAAGAGCAACTTTTCCTTCTTTGTATTGTATTCAAAGAAAAACTTTTCAATCCAGCTCTCTTTGAAGCAACTTCCCCTAGGGATGTCTGTGGAACTCAAAGAGTCTTCGGTGCTACAGTTCAAAGTTCAAGAAATTGGCCAGTTAGTACCACTTCTGCCAAATCCCTGCATTCCTATCAGCAGCACCAGATGGCAAACTCAGGATTATGATGGAAACAAAATTCTCCTACAGGTATGTCCTTAGGGTTTTTTTCCCCTCTAGATATAAACACATGATCGTATGGGAGAAAAATGATTATCTTTCTCTTGTATTAATAACTAATTATTGAATCAGAAACAAGATTTTTCTCCTTTTCTACTTCCTCATCCAGAAATCAACCAGTGTGGGAAATCTTTCTCAAAGATTTACCCAGGCCAAGATTTAATCAGTTAGTAAAAGAAATTCCAAGTTAGGCTAATAGGAGGTTTCCTGCTCATTGTGTTTACTCAGACAAGTCTGGGAAAATGTTGATTTTCCCTTTTATCAAACAGGTGACATAGAAATTGATAAGTCTCCTTGACAAAGTTTTTGGTGATCCAGTGACATGCACCAAGATCCCCATTATAATAGAGCCCAGCCTCTTCATTATAATATTCTTTCTCCCATTAATTAACCAATCAGAGTTGATTGCCACCGACAGGAACACCTACTCTTCCAAGGGCATAAAAATTGTAAACCCACTGCCATGAGGGGGTATTTGGTCTAAGAGAGATACCCAAATGACCATCTTTTTTATTAATAAACATGCTTGCCTTATTAATAAGATCACTAAATCACCCAGAAACTATGTCCCTTGAACTTCAAAAATGCCACATATGAAATCATAGACCATTAGATTTTCGGATGAGGACACTGAGGCTTAGAGAAACTGAAGTTAGTGACAGGACCCAGGACTTTAAATTCAGCTCATAGAATCATGTATTTATAGATTGAAAAGACCTTAGATGTTATCTAGTCCAACCACCTTCATTTTACAGATAAGGCTACTGAGTCTTAGAGAGTCATGAGATCATAAATATATAGCTGGAAGATACCTCAGAAGCTATCTAGTCTAACATTTTTGTTTTGCAGATAAGGAAAATGAGACCCAGACAAATGAAGTTACTCGACCAAGGTCACATAGGTAGGGTTAGAAATCCCAGTCCTTGGATTTGATATATATTGTTCTTTCCATACAGTATACTTCCTCCCTGTCTAATATTCTTTCCACTATCTTGCTGACCCCCATGTGTACATATATACATTCTTTCACCTAACTGCATTCACCAACACAAGAAGCAGTTGTGAATCAGTCTGAGGAAGTTACAGTCATGATATATTTGTGAATGCCAGTGTTGAAGATATGAGAGGCTGAAACTGGCTAGTTAAGTTCTGAATCCAAGTAACTCTCTTGTTTTAGTACAAATTAAATTAGCTGATTAAATGAACTTCAGCAGAAGATTTTTAGAAAAGAAGGTCTTTCTGAGCCATGTTTATTTGTTCCTTTGTCCGTCCAACACATATGTAGCCTCTATATCAAGAAAATGGCACTCAGTCCTGGGGGAAATACAAACTAAGAGGTGGTCCCTGTCCTCAAGGAACTTGCTTTGGGGGGATACGACTCATGCAGAAATAAATGTCAGAACTGTGCAAGGTTAGCATACAAGAGAGGGGCATATGAAATTCTATGAGGCCTGAGAGGAGAAATCTCACGTACAGCTTGAAAGACTGGAGAACACCTCATGGAGGAGGCAGATAGCATTGGAAATGAGTTTTTAATAACTAGTACTGTTAATTGTGACTACAGTATAACTGTGCATGCATCTATGTGTAGGCATGAAGATGTATAGCAATTCAATTCAATTCAATTTAACCAATATTTTTAAAGCATCTGCTATGTGAAAAATACTGTATTAGGTACTGAGGATATAAGGAGAGAAAACAAAGCAAGCACAGCTGTTAAGGGGCTTATGTTCTACTGGGACATACAACATGGTCCATGCATTTGGATCTGGAAGTGGCCTTAGCCCAACACCCCTAATTTTACAGATGAGGTAACTGAGGCCAAGAGAAGTGAAAGAACTTGCATAAGGTCACAAAACTAGTCAGTATCTGAGGTGGGATTGGAATCCAGGTCTTCCTGGTTCCAAATCCAGAGCATTATCCACTATGCCACAATGTCTCTCATATATACAGATAAATAGATTATCTAATTCAACTCAATTAAATTCCATAAAACATTTATTAAGCTCCTGCTGTGTGCTAGTACAAAAAGAGGTAAAAGACAGTCCCTGCCCTCAAGGAGATTACAATCTAATGAGAGAGACAAGGTGCAAACAAATATATACAAGACAAGCTATACGCAGGATAAATGGGAAATAATTGAGAGAGAGAAGGCACCAGAACTGGGGAAGGCTTTAGTAGGTAGGACTTTATTGGGACTTAAAGGAAGCCAGGGAGGTTCAATAGACAGAGTGAAAAAGGGTCCAGAGCCAAGAAATGGAATGTCTTTTTTGTGGAATAGCCAGGACACCAGCTTCACTGGATCAAAGTGTATGTTTTGGGGAGTAAGGTGTAAGAAGACTGGCAAGTAAGAGGGAGCTGGGTTATAAAAGGCTTTGAGTGCCAAACAGAGCATTTATATTTGCTCCTGGAGGCAATAGGAAGCCACTAGAGTTTATTCAGTAGTTTGTTTAATTTATTGACTTAAAGAAGGGGAGCATACGAACATCTGGAGTAATCAGGAAAGACTTCCTGTAAGAGGTGGGGCTTGAGTTGAGCCTTGAAGGTAGCTAAAGATTCTAAGAGTTGGAGGCTAGAGATGGCATTCTAGGCATGGGAAGCCTTTGGAAATACAAGGTGTGTGGAGATAGAAAGCCAGTTGGGGGAAATTAGCAGACCAGTTGGGGTTTATGGTAAAGAGCACAAAAGGGGGCAGCTAGGTGGCGCAGTGGATAGAGCACCAACCCTGGAGTCAGGAGGACCTGAGTTTAAATCCAGCCTCAGACACATAACCCTCACTAGCCGTGTGACCCTAGGCAAGTCACTAAACCCCAACTGCCTCACCAAAAAAAAACTTAAAAATTTTTTTAAAAAAGAGCATAAAAGGAACAACGTACAATAAAGATGGAGAAGTAGTTTAGAGTCACTTTATGAAGGGCTGGGAATGCCAGGTTGAGAAGTGTATGTTTTATCCTAGAAGTAAAAAAGTCTCTGGTTCCCTTTTACTGCCGGGATAAAATATACAAGACTGTTTTGGCAGCTACGGGGGAAGGATGGGTAGGAAAAGAGAAGCATGAAAACCTTACGCACAATCTGGCCGTGTTAGCTCCTCCACTTAGAGAACCTTGTGTTGTTCAGCTGTGTCTGACTCCAGGTGACCCACTTGGGGTTTTCTTGGCAGAGACACTGGAGTGGTTTGCCGTTTCTTTCTCCAGTTCATACAGCAGGTGAGGAACTGAGGCAAACAGGGTGAAGTGACTAGATAGCTAGTAAGTGTCTGAGGCTGCATTTGAACTCAGATCTTCCCAAGTCCAGTCCCAGAACTCTATCCACTGCACCACATGTAACCTTTAGGATCAAATATAAACTCCACTGTTTAGCACCGAAAGCTCTTTGCCACCTGATCTCATCCTACCTACCCAGACTGTATACAGATGACACCTCTCCAAGGCTTAGCAGCCTGTTTGCTGCTCCTCCTCCTAAGGACTCCTGCCTCTCCTGCTCTAGTGCCTTGGTGCTGACTGTCCTCTCTGGCCCGATTCTCTCCCTCCTTACCACCTCCTCCTGGAAACCACAGTTGCCTTCAAGATTCAGTTCAAGTGCCTCCTTCCGATCAAGGCTTTTCCTGGCCCCTCCAAATGTAGTGCCATCCCCTTTAGGTTTACCTTTTATCTGCTTACCTGTGCTTTGTACATACTTATATTGTGCACATGTGGTTATGCTCGTTAGAATGTAAGCTCCTTGAGGGCAGAAATTGTTTTGCTCTTGTTTTTGTGTCCCCAGCCCCTAGCATGGGAGGGACAGAGAGATGGCACTTGATAAATGATTATTTGCTTAATCCAGAATGTAGCAGGGGATATATTTTGGATGACCCAGCTAAAGCATAATTGCTTATTTGGTTTTCAGGCCACAGCTGTTGATATTTTATTGGACCAAAACTGGGATAGAGGGGGAAAGCTACATAAGAATCTGCAGGGTAGACAGCCCACCCTAGACTATCTGAAATGAGCCTGGTTAATGGGGGGAAGAGGAAGAAAAGATCAGGTGGAGAAATGAGGCTAATGGGGCTATAGTAAATCCCATCAGTAATCAGAAATAATTATTGCAGCTCTCATTTTTTAGCCTTTTCTTCCCTTGTACTCCACAAAACCTTTACTGGGGTGTTTTACCTGTCCCTTTTTCTTCCTGAACACTGAGATGCTTGAAAAGAGGCTCCCTTATGGGAAAAGGCCAGCCAAGAGACAGAGACATTGGGAAGAATAGGTAATCAGCCTCAAAATATTGTATAATTGATTGTTTTTACCTTTGGTTCTTCCTTTATATGGACCCTTCACCTATATATGACATGTCCTAGTGCTCTGAATATTGGCTCTTCTACTGTTAATCAGTGAATATTTCTCAAGCATCTGCCACATGTCAGTAATGTGCTAGGAACTAGAAACAAAAATGAAGTAGCCCCAGCCCTTATGGAGCTTATGTTTTGGGGGAAGGGAAAAGGGAAAACATTTACAAATATATGTACGTTTAAAATATGTACAAAGGAAAGACAACATAATTTCAGGGTGAAGGATCTTGGGTTGCGAGGATCAGGAAAGGTTTTATATAAGAGTTGGACATTGAACTAAGCTTGGAAGGAAACTAGAGTTGTCACTAAAATCAGATGTTTTGAAAGAAAAAAGTATAGAAATATAGTGAGAAATAACATTGCTGAGAGGCTGCATAAAAACCTCAGCTTTTGTAGAAGGCAGGGCTAGTTTTGGTTTTGTTTTATTTTTGGCAGGGAAGGGAGCATGACCTATATGTGGACAAATGTAACGGACAGGGAGACTGGGTGGGGCACGTATGTGCTGTCCAATCATAGCAGGATTGACTTTCGGAGTGGCAGGTTCAGGTTTATGCAAAGGTGTTCTTTCAATTGTTTGTGTAAGACTTGTCTTCCTTCATGATCAAACCTCCCTAGATGGTGAGGGCTCCTGACTTCTGAAACTCTTTGCTCATATCTACTCCCTTTTTATTTGATTGTTAGCTAGGACATCCATAATGGACATATATAAGATAAATTGATAGGTTCTATGTATAAACCCCAGGAGGAGCACTTGGACCAAACCAAGTATGCATAGAAGAAAAGCATGATGGAGACAATCTAATTTTGAAAGCAAAGAGGTGTCAATTTTCAGGATGTCTGAAAGAAAGGAAATATACCAAGAATTAGAAAAAATCCCAGATGATGTTAGTAACTTCTCTAAAAATGAAATCAAGAGGATATAAATAACAATTGGTCTGTATACCTACTTCCTTATTTTGGTAAGCTCTTTATGAGGATATCTACACACACATTAAGTGCATCTTTGATAAAAATGTGAGAAAGGAACCTGACATTTTGAATATGAGCATAATATAACATATTGTTCAGAAAGTTGTTTTTTTATAGCAGACCATATCTCCCCAGTCACAAAGCTGACTCAAATGCATACAGAAGACAAAATCTCACTCCTTAATGTTTGTTGGTTATTTAAAAAAAAAAAGGCATTTCAATTTGTCAGAGTGAAATGTACTTTCAAAGGCTTCCCTGTATATCTAATGTGTATTTTGAAATCAAACAAAATTCATTGACAGATCTACCCAGTTTAGTTCAACAAGCATTTATTAAGCACCTACTAAGTGCTGGGGGATTCAAAGAGAAAAGTGAAAAACAGTCTCTGCTGTCAAGGACTTTATCAACTGGAGGAAGAAGAAGGGGCTGTAATATATGTAGATAAGTAAATACAAAATACCAAACAGGGCAGCTAGGTGGTGCAGTGGATAAAGCACCAAACCTGGAGTCAGGAAGACTCTGTTTCCCAAATAAGGAGAATAATAGCACCTACCTTCCAGGGTTGTTGCAAGGATCAAATGAGATAATATAAAATGCTTAGCACAGTGACTGGCACATACTAGGCACTATATAAATGTCATTACAATGGTGATCCAAACCCTCTCGATCACAAATGAGGAAATTAAGATTTGGAAAGTAGAATGACCCTCTCAGGATCACTCCCTGTAAATATCAAAGATGGGGTTCCGACCCAGCTTCCAAAGGAGCAGCAGTCCTTTTTCAATTACAGGTTTTTAAAGAGTTTTCTAGGTAGGATTTGGGATTTGTTTCCTAAATGTTACTCAGCAGCATTTCTATGTCGTACCGACCAGTTTCCTCACTGTGTTAATTTCCCATCCTTACGTCTCCTGAAGGATTTTACTATCTCCTTCCCAATCCCCCAAGTGCTGTCATTAGACCAACATTGCAGTCTCCCGGACTTGAACTTGGGGTTATCTTTTGTACTTTCGTTCTCAAAGCCAATCAGATCAATTCAGTTCCCTTGTTAAGGGCCCACTAAGTGTAGGTCACTACGTTAAGTACTAAGGGGGCAGAAATGGAAAGCAAGCCATGGCCCTGGCCATTCCGTCAGTATATCTGTGGGAACTCCAGTTCCCATGGACCTCTCCATTTTCTAGCTCCTTTCATACTTATTGTCAATGTCACCCAACTATTTATAAATCTATTCCATTAAAAAAAAATAAGAGGAGTAAGGAAAATCAATGACAAAAATACGGATATTTGGGTGGGAGTTGAGGTGATAGTGCAGTGGATAGAGAGAGTACCAAGCCTGGAGTCAGAAAGACTCATCCTTCTGAGTTCAAATCTGGCTTCAGACATTTATTAGCTGTGTGACCCTGAACGAGCCACTTAAGCCTGTTTGCCTCATTTTCCTCATCTGTAAAATGAGCCGGAGAAGGAAATGGCAAACCACTCCAGTGTCTTTGCCAAGAAAACCCCAGAATGGGTCATGAAGAGTCCGACATGACTGTAATGACTAAATCACAAATTAACTAGTGTAATTGAATTACAGCCTCCTCTGTTTCATTTCTATAATTGTTCTGAAGTCGAATGCCCCCTTCCCAATGCCTTCTTCTCTGCTCTCATAGTCATTGCTCTGATTCAGGGTCTTATCACCTCTTGTCCCAACCATTACAATAATGACTTATTGGTCTCCCTACTTCCAGTCTTTTCCCTCTCTAATTGAATCACCATACTATTTCCAAAGGAATTTTCCTAAAGCACAGTTCTAATAATGTTGCTCTTGTTCTCAAGAAGCTTCAATGACTCCCTATTATCTCTAGGGAGGAAAACAATAACAAAAACAAATACATTCAATTCCTCAGCTTGACCTTTAAAGCGCTTCATAACCTGGCTGTAGCCTGCCTTTCCAGGCTTATTTCACACTCCCACGCTTCATACAGCCCACGACCTCACCCAGCCCATACCTAGAAAGCGCTCGCTCCTTAGCTCTGCTTTTTCTAGTCCTCGTCTTCTATGAGAAGATACTTTCTCTGGCTTCTTTGCAGAGGTGAAAGCCCACGGGCGTGGAAAGCTGTGTGGGATGTGTGTATGTGTGTTAGTTTGGTGGTACTTTATTAAGAGAACTTTTTTAAAAAATTCTTTTCAAAGCTATTGTAAGGAATGATGATTCTCTGGGAAGGTGGGGAAGCGACAATGGCAGCAGCAACAACAATAATAACAACAACTATCATTTATTTAGCACTTTAGTGTCTGCAAATTGCTTTACCTCTCGTTTGATTCTCATAATAACTCTGTGAAGTAGGTGCTATTATCATCTTAGAGATAAGGAACCTGAGGCTCAGAGAGAGAGGTTAAGTGACTTACCCAGGGTCACACGGTATCTGATGTAGGATTTGAACTCAGGTCTTCCCGATTCCAAATGTATCTACTATGCTACCTAGTTGCTGAGGATACAGTAGGAACTCTAGGTGACATAAAAACAACAACAAAAGTAAATTAACAACTACTTTTTTAAAAAGAATCCTTAACCAGATCTTGAGGATGGAAAGTTTACCTTCCTGCTAAGTTGGGGTGTGACCTGTACCAATTGAGGTAGTTCTCTGTATCCCCTCTTTCCCCAGCTCTGCAGACCACCCCACCTTCATTTACTGGCCACACTGGCCTATTTGAAGTGGCCCTAACTGGACATTCCAACCTCCTGCCTCCAAGCCTTTGCACAGACTGCAAATACCTAGAATGTACAGTCTCTCTAAAAACCCTTGCTTCTTTAAAGGCTCGGTTCAGGTACTGCTTACTGTGGGTTTCCCAGATGTTCTTTTAGTTCTAAATCTGTTATGAACCTTGAATGATCTGAAATATAATTATTATTTTTACATGTTGTATCCCCTGGTAGTAGCCTAGGGACCTTGAAGGCAAAACTCTTTCTTTTCTCTTTCTTTCTTTCTTTCTCTGTCTTTCTCTTTCTTTTCTCCTTCCTTCCTTCCTCCTTCTTTCCTTCCTTCCTTCCTTCCTCTTTCTTTCTTTCTTTTTCTTTCTTTCTTTCTTTCTTTCTTTCTTTCTTTCTTTCTTTCTTTCTTTCTTTCTTTCTTTCTTTCTTTCTCTCTCTTTCTTTCTCTCTCTCTCTCTTTCTTTCTCTCTCTCTCTTTCTTTCTTCTTTCCTTCCTCCCTCTTTCTCTTTTTCTCTCTCCTCTCCTTCCTCTCTTTCTTCTCCCTGCCTCCCTTCTTCCCTTCATCCCTCCCTCCTTTTCTTTCTTGTATGTGCATAATAGCCTCTTAATCAATGCTTGGTGAAAGCTTGCCCCCCCAAAAAAAACCGGGAAAATTCACCACCCCTCCCACATTCTTTACAGCAGTGGGGGGTCCATGGGTATATAATAACGATATTGCACATAATGTAAAACTTTTTTGATATATTGATTAATTCTATGGAACTTTTCCCCCTTGCTTTAAAAAAATTGTTATTAGGGATCACTCTTTGGGGAGGGGAGAAAAGAAGGATACAGTGGGGAATGTAAGTGATTTTAAAACAAAAAAATAGCAATAAAAATTTATCTTAGAAAAAAATTAAAAAGAATCCTTAGCTTCCTTCAAGATTCAGCTCAGGTACCAGCTCCTTCCTGATCTCTCCCAACTCAAATTCACAGGTGCTTCCTGTCTGTTTACACATCACCTCTGCATGGAAAATGTGAACTTCTTGAAGGCAGGGACACCTTCTGCCTTTATAACCTCAGTACCTGGTATATAGCAAATGCTCAAGAAAAGCTGAGTGTTCAATTGAAAGCGGGTCTAACTGAGCAGTGCCCAGAGCAGATACTAATCACACCCTTAAAAGCGAAGTTCTGGGCTATTGTTACCACATCTTATTACTATCAATAATAATTTTTAAAATCTCTCTCAGTGATATTCTTGCCCTTCTTTGCTAACAGGTCCAAACAAACCCAGGACCAGGCAAAAACAAGGGTGAGCTTTCCTCTAAGCAAGGCCATACTGGAGCTGACACCCCTCTCCAAGACTCTGCCCAAAGGACCACAGAACAAAGAAGTCGGAGAAGCCAAACCGGGAGGTCAAAGCACAACCCCCCAGAGCCTCTTGACCTGGCAGGGGGCACTCTGCCATCAGGAAGCTCCTGTAGGACTCCCTGGACTGGCTCCTGTTCATCTCACTGTAGCAGTCCATCAGCAACTTTCCAGTGGGATAGACCCTCTCCACATCTGGAATCAGCAGCCAGAATCCAAACACGCCATCAAGGAAGCAGTTTTCAGAAGCCTGAGGCAGAGACTAATGTTGATACAGGGTTCACAGTAATCGATTCAGAACAGAGGCAATCTTCTCTGAGAACATTTCCAAGGGATTTGCAAAGCAGTCTGCCTGCGTCATGGTTGCCAAACTCTTTGTTAGCCATAAATGGCTCAAGAAATAAGCCCTCCAAGGAGACAGTCCACCCCTTGCCATTTGCTGTCCAAAGGGACAGTGGTGCAGGGCAGATAACCTCAGCATTTCACTCGCCACAAACACCCCATGGAAACGACGAAGAGGAATTCTTTATATGATGGGAAACAAATGCGAGTTTCAGACACTGAATCAAATCCATTGTTCTGGAGACTGAGCCCAACCCCCAAACTAGCCAGCTTCTCTTGAACATCTGGAGATGTCTGGGTATTCCTCAGGTCTACACCTATGTGTCTTTAATTTAAAAAAAATAAATAACCCTGTTCCAAAGAAGCAAGGGACTGGCTTCGTAAGAGATTATCGCCAAAAGCACAAGGCAAAAGGATAACCACTGTTGTTCCCCAGGATGTGTACACACAATTTGAACCAATTGTTTGCTGAGTCTCAGGTCATTTGTGTTGTGTGCTTATGAACAGAATATGTTATGCAACTCATTAGTGTTTTGTGCTTTAATATTCATTGGAGTTGCCTAGCTTCTTCCAGAACCACATTAAATATTTATTCTTTACCACTTGCTAATCTCAAAACTGTATCGGTTCTACATACTTCTGATACCCTTTGGGCATTCTGGATTTGTTTGTATATTTGATCCATTAAAATACATAGTGTATAGATCAAAGACCAAAACTAGAATGTATAATTTGTTGCTTTCCTAATCAGCACTGCTCTGGCCTGCTCCAGAGAGTCAAACTGTACTTGTTACTAATCAAAAGAATAGCTCATTTGTTTTTGTTTTTGTTTTTGTCATTCATGGATATAGGGAATTTTCAGGGAGCCAGGCAACAGGTACATAGTAAGCTTCTGTTGTGTGCTAAGTATTGTGGCATTGAGGAAATAAAAAAAATGAAATGTCCCTGTCCTCACAGGGTTTCTATCCCAGTGGGAGAGACAATCCATATTTACAGATAAGTATATCCAAAATGAATGCAAGGTATTTTAGGGGAGGGCACTAGTATCTGAGGGATTAGCTCACATAGAAAGTAGCACTTGAACTACATTTTGAAAGATACAAAAGAGCAGGGCAGAGCCAAGACGGCGGAGTAAAAGCAGTGACCTGCTTCCCAAACCTCTCTCCAAATATCTGTAAAAAATGGCTCTAAACAACTTCTAAAGCAGCAGAACCCACAAAAAGACAGAGTGAAACAAATTTCCAGCCCAAGACAGCTTGGATGGTTGACTAGAAAGATACACAAGGGAATTAAAAAGAGATGAAGAAGGAAAGAATTATTGGAATATAGAGATGAAAGAAACTCCATTCATCCATGCACTTAGGCAACCACTATGCAACTTTTACTCTTAGAGAGCTGCCTTGGACACTGAGTGTATAAGTGACTTGCCCAGAGTAACACAGTCTGGATATGTCAGAGGCAGAACCTGAATCCAGGCCTTCCTGACTCTAGCTGGCTTCCTATGCATGATAACCTGTTGCTTTTCAGTGACTTCTTTGGACTCTTCAGCATGGGGCTGCTAATTTAGTTAGCTTAGGTTAATGGATTGAATTTTATGGCTATCTTAGGTCCTCTCACTTTATTGTAATATGCCGTAAGATTTATGGCCAGTGAAACCTCAAAATATTATGGTTTTCCCACCATGGCACATCTCTTTTATCAAAGATTGAGAAAAACAAAACAAAACAAGACAAAAACCAACTTTAAGTCTGCAAACAAATTGATCGGCCTATAAAATGTTTGTTATTTCTTCCTCTACTTACCACACCACAAAGCATTTGTAATGAGTATTCTTATCCTGAAGATGCACGATACTAATGACAGTAATTGGGAGTGAGCCTGTGATTTCTTTGGCATAGGGATCTCGTGGGCGAGGAAGCTCTCTCACCAACTTAGGTTGGCCCTTCCTCTGCATTTGATAGCCTTACTCTTAGATTGCTGCCCAGAAAACATTGCCAGGTTAAGTGACATGCCTGTATGGACCACAGATGGCACCTGCACCTAGGTCTGCCTGGCTTCAAAGCCAGCTCCGAATCTAAGGCTAATGTACAGATTGCCAAAGTGATTTATAGTTTGTCCATATCCTGATTCCTTTCAGGCCCAACAGAAGAACATTCTGGAGCTCTAAGGCCTGTAGTTCTATGCTAATTCATATGGTTGTTAGCTTTCATGGGTTTTAGAAATCGGGATACAAAAAGACTTTGCCTCAGCATATAATCATCGGTCAGATTGGATTTTGTATGGAACTTTCCACATAAGGAAAATTCTGGTTGTGACACAGTAACTGTGAATAAAGTAAAATGTTGTTTACAGAGGAGAAAATTAGAATGGCAAAGGGAATTCTTCAAAGGACTTCAGAACCCCAATATTTGTCCTTAGTAAAATAAAAACTGGAGGACATATGATATAACCAAAAGAGCAGCCTGGGAATCAGGAAACCAGAGTTCAAATCTCTGCTCTGCCACTGACCAGCTGGGAGGCCAAGGACAAGCTCCCTGGGCAATTCCTCAATTCTAAATTAGGATGGTTGGACTAGTTGATCATCAAGGCTTCTTCTGGCTCTAATATTCTATGATCTATTCATTCAATGCCCAGTCCTACTCTACTTAGCTGCCCAAGTGATCTTCCTAGTGGACGGGTCCAACCATGTCACTCCTATTCAGTCAAATCCAGAGGTTCCCTGTTACTTCCTGGATCAAATATTAAAATTTTTTAAAGCCCTTCATAAACTGGCCCAGTGGCTAGGTGGTACAGTAGATATAGCACCTGGCCTGGAGACCTGAGTTCTAATCCAGCCTCAGACACTCACTGGCTGTATGACCCTGGCCAAGTCACTTAACCCTATTTGCCTCAGTTTCCTCATCTATAAAATGAGTTGGAGAAAGAAATGGCAAACCAATCCAGTATCTTTGCCAAGAAAACTGCAAGTGCAGTCATGAAGAGTCAGACAGGACTGAAACTGAACAATAACAACAACAAACAGCCCTTTCCTACCTGTCCAGTCTTCTTATGCTTTTCTCCCCTTTTTACATACTTTTATATCCAACTACTCTAGCCTCCTTGCTGTTGGTCATACAAAACACTCTCTCTCCCAATTCCTTACCTCTTCAGTGGCTGTCCTCCTTGCCTAGACTGCCTTCTTATCTCCACCTCCTGACTTTCTTGACTTCCTTCAAAATTCAGGTCAACTTTAACCTTCTTTGACTTTTTTGCCCCACTCCCCACCTCAACCTCCTAGTGCTGGTGCTTTCCTTGTGAGATTACCTACATTTTACTCTGTATATATTTTGCATGGCCATACATACAAAATGTTTACATGTTGTTCTGGCCATGCATACAAAATGTTTACATGTTGTTGCCACCTTTAGAATGTAAGCTCCTCAAGGGCAGGGACTGTTTTTTGCCTTTCTTTATATTCTCTGCACTTAGAACAGTGCTTCTCAAGTTATAGGCACTTAATAAATGTGTATTGACTTGCTTGCTGCTTAATTCTTAACGTATTGAAAACTTATTGTGTCAAAATTTTACCTGATTACTAAGTGAGATTTGGAGATATGGGAAGAATTTTGTTTTATTCATATTTCCTTAGAAAAAAAGTTAAAATAATGAAATAGTTTCATAAATAAAATCACTAATGATTTTTAAAACTTAGCAGGGTGAAGCTTAAAGATTCTGGTACTTGAATAGCATGGTACTTGAATAACACCATAAATGAAACACTGACAAATGTAAATGAGTCCATTAAAATACTGACTTGTTTATCAGTAACTAAATATATCATATTTATCTCTTTTCCCTCAATAAGAATAAAACAGTTCTTTCAAAAGCAAGCTTTAAGTAAATTCAATACCGGAAAAGAAAAGAAGGATCAATAAGGTGTATGTTACAGTTATTTCTGTATATAATCACTCTATTCCCTCCCAATCTCAAAATTACATCCTTCCTCAAAACACTTGATGCAATGACCCTTTAGACAATGTATCCTACTAGGTAGGGTATTCTATCCTAGCAGTCCTGTCTATTTGAGAAGAGTAGGGAAGTAAATTTCATTCTCTGTTCTTCAGGCCCATCATTACCTACCATTTGTTTTAAATCCATATAATTAAGCAGAGAAGGTAGAGGTTAACAGCTCACCTACCACAATTTTACCTACTCTAGGGACAAACTTTTCTCTACTGGTTTTCAACCTTTTTAAATGTGAGGATTCCTCTCTTAACATAAAAAAGTATTGGTTGCCCACAAGAAATAGAATTATTAAAATCCAAAGATTGAGGAAATGTACAAAAATAGCATGCTACTATGAATTGTGTAACCCATGACAACTTGCAATAACACCATCGTGCCCCTAGGTGGCTATCACCAGGACCAACTAAATTGTATGTTCTGCAATGCTTTCTGTCTCTCACCTCTGTAGTTACTATGAACTTTTCTTACCATGTGTATAAAAATATCATTCTGCTTCTCAAGATATTATAGCTACAAATGCTGTCCTTCCTCACAATGAAAAATGCAAGTGGAGTCATATTCCTTGATGTAGAATATACATGTGTCAATGCACATTTCAATATAGCTCTATTTTTTAAAAAAATACACTTTTCTTGTTATCTTTTATTTTTACCTTGCCTAATTTTCCTTCTGTATCCCCCCATGTTCCTTCCCAGAGAATCTCCTATAACTAAGAATATTTTCAAAGGAAAAGATGAAGAGAGCACATTAAAAAAAAAACCCAAAATATGATCAATGTTTCACGACCATGGGCCTCCAACCACTGCAAAAGGAGGAAGAGAAGCTTCTTCTCCTATCCTTGGAGCCAGGTTTATTCTTTGTAATTTTGCAACTTTCATTTTCAACTGTTTTGTAGCTGTTCTTTCCATTTACAATCTTGATTTCACTGTATGAGTTGGGTTTTTTTTTTGACTACTTGCTTCACTTTGTATAAGTTCATGTAAATTTTTCCATACTTGTCTATATCTATCATATTTGTAATTTCCCATAACATAGTACTACCATTCTCATTATACTGATATTTATTGACATTACATTGATAGTTTGCTTTTGCTGCTGTTGTTTTGTTCTTTCAGTCATGTCTGACTCTTCATGACCCCATTTGGGGTTTTCTTGCAAAGATGCTGGAGTGGTTTGCCATTTCCACCCCCAGCTCATGTTACAGATGGGGAATCTGAGGCAAACAGGGTCAAGTGACTTGTCAAGAGTCACACTAGTGAGCTAGTCAGCTAGTAAGTGTCTGAGGCCAGATTTGAACTTAGGAAGATGAGTCTTCCTGACTCCAGGTCTAGCACTCTATGCACTGCGCCAGACAGTTTGTTTAGCTATTCCCCAACTGATAAGTGTCTCCTTTGTTTCTAGGTTATTGCTACCATCAAAAAAATGCTGCTATGAATATTTTGGTGTATATGGAATATGTCTTTTTATCAATGACCTTCTTTGGGTATAGGCCTATTAGTGAAATTTCTGACTCAAAGCTCTATGAACACCTAACATCTTGTTATGATCTTTGTATGTGGAAAATTTGTTCTTCTTCTCTTTTGGAGTCTGAGTTAACGTTTCACATGTAGAATTCCTAGGAAGGAGGAGAGGACAAAAGCACCTCAATTAGACCTTTGATACTTCACTTGAGAGAATAATCCAAGGCTACTCTCCTGGCACCTGCCAGATAATTGGCAGGTACACTAAGCAGTACCTTGCTTTTTGCTTTACCTCTTAAACCTAGCCAAGAAACTCTCCCTCTTTTTGCCCAATATTAACCCTGTAGTTAGTGTCCTCTAAGTCCACATGACCCTATCCCATTATAGATAAGACCCTTAGGCAACCTTGAATAAATCTGAGAACATCCCACTTTCACACTCTAACCAGTCCCCTCCAGATAAGACCCAATTACTATACTCAAATGATCCAACAGCTCAAGGATCGGAGATAGCCGTTAATACCTTGCTTATGACCTGGGAATAGTGGGTATCACTTTACTCGCTGGCCTTCATCTATCAACTGATGGTCCCCTGAAGTCTTTTTCTGCTCTGAATTTCCTCCTTATTCGGTGATCCTCATCACAGCAGCAGAAACATAGTAATCCATTCACATATCAGGCATCATTTGTTTAGTCTACAGAAGACACAGGTGCTCATTGAC